TATCTCGGCCCTTGCTGCTTCATCTGTCTTGAAGGATCTTCCCACAGTTCTTTGCATGATGGGTTCCTTTTTATTCTTCATGTCTCAATATAACTGTCCCCTATTCAGAGAAGCCTTCTCTCACTACCCTAGCTGAAATATGTTCTCTATCTTTAACTAGTTGACTTTTCTACCCATCATCAGTTATTCTTTTCATTACTATGTTTATTTCCATTATTGTATTATCACAGTCTGCAGTGATCTTTTAATCTGTCAGTCTTCTTCATCAGATTATAACATTTGAGGATCAGGAAACTTGGTAGTCTTGTTCCCCACTGTATCCCTAATGTTTAGTAGAGTTCTTGGCTTACAGAAGGTACTCAAAAACCTCACTGAATTCATAAATGAACAAAAATATTTTATAGAATCACAGTCTATAAGGTTGAATAAAAGTTTAGAAAATCTAAGACCATGCATTTTTTAAAGCCTTAGAACCTTTACTTCCTAGAAAATCTATGTTAAAAATCTATGTTAAAAAAACATACAAGGATCTTTCCTGATAGATACAGCAATAGAAAAAAATGGGGCCCTGCGAACTTAGTATCCCTCCTGACACAACCATCTTGGGAAGTTCTGCATAGCTCCAACCCCTTTATTTTGTGTCATGTGTGAACATATAAATTAAAGAATGACTTACTCAACAATGTACAGCTCTTTAGTGGGAGATCAGGGACACAGTGGTCAGTGCAGGGCTTGCTATTTGTGTTGCTTTATGATGAAACTGTTCAGAATAAACAAGCCTAACACCAGAGTCACAGAAACCATTCCGAAGATAAAGATTTAGATAATCATTTACTCCATAATGCCACTTACTGCCATTGACCCTAAATTCCCAACTGATTGTTTCCAAGGAAACTGTTAGAAACAAGAAACACGTATATCTTATCGTTCTTTTCCTTTTTTTTTTTTTTTTTTTTTGAGTCTGGCTCTGTCGCCCAGGCTGGAGTGCAGTGGCCGGATCTCAGCTCACTGCAAGCTCCGCCTCCTGGGTTTAAGCCATTCTCCTTTATCGTTCTTTTCTAACTATTGATATTCTTCTCATCTTTATGACTTCACTTTTAAGATCTTATTTAAAAAACTTATTTGAGAAGGTCACTTTATTTCATTTTATCTTCCCTTAAGATATTCACCTCTACCTATTATCGTACCACCTTAAACAGGTAGTAAAAACCACATTTCAATAAATCCAACCAAATTTTCTCCTAAACATATGAAACAGGACAATTTCATTTTAATACATTCAACTTTGGAGTTGATAGTTGCATGTCTGCTCAGATCTTAGATAACACAGTGGTAGATTTTTTAGCATAGATAACAGACCATAAGTCTGGCAGATGTTTCTTTTCAGATGCTTCTTTTCAGATGCTTCCCAATTCTTTTCTCATGCAGAGTTATGCATTTAGGCAACTGAACATTTTAGCACAAGATTCAAGCATAAAATATACAATTTATTTTTTCTGTTTAAAAAAATCTAACTCCTGGATTTGGAATTCGTTACTGATGCTTCTCTTGCTTTATTTTTTCAATCCAGATCTCATTCTTCAATCTTCTAGGAAGTAAGGAGATCTTTTCTTTTCTTGAAAAAAAAAAGTTTCATTTCTTTCTCTTACTCTCTTTCTTATTTATTTTGTAAGAATCCAAGGTAGCATCTTTGTGACACTGCCTAAGGAAGAATTTTTAAAGTGCAAAAATAAATCCGGCATTAGGCTGTCTGATTAAGCAATAGTTCCTTGGATCACAAAATTCTTTTGAAAAAATATGCCATGGTATTTTTATTGAGTTTATAAGCTGAAAGCCATTTAAAATTCCAAGGAGAACAACAAAAAGAATAAAAAAACACACATGTGGTGTTACTAAAAAAAGGCACCAAAGATGTGTACTAGGCATGATTTTTCCTGGGAAAAATTATGAAGCAGATGAAATCTGTGTTTATCATTTTTCCATGACTTGTTTTGAGTACCTTTTCCATCTCTGCTCTACTCGTCACTAACTGTCATACTGTATCATTCCTCTTTGGGATTCCTTGCTGTGTTATTCTATGGTATATGTTTAGACCTTCCCTTTTCTTAATTCTGTTTTTCCCCTCCCTACAAACACTTAGGATTCTGCTAGAGAACTATGCTAGTTGAGTTTTTAAAAATACATGCTAAAATATGAATAACTGTTGATGGCTTTTCCAACCTAAAAACAAATTTGACAAGAATTATCAGGAAGATAATCACACTTTCTTGGCATTTGCTACTTGGCTTCTCTGTGGGTACAGGCGTGATGCTAATGGAAGAGGGATGAGTCCTTTAACAAATATGAAAATTATTAAGAACTCTAGAGAGGAAAAATATGGGGCCAAAGCTGGTTAACCTATGGTAAGCAAGGCTTAGAGACACAAATCCAGAAAATAAAGAAAGTTCTTCAATGGCTGGGTGTAGTGGCTCACGCCTGTAACTCTAGCACTTTGGGAGGCCAAAGTGGGAGGATCACTTGAGTTCAGGAGTTTGAGACCAGCCTGGCCAACATGGTGAAACTCCGTTTCTTATAAAAATACAAAAATTAGGTGGGCATGGTGGTGGGTGCTTGTACTCCCAGCTACTCGGGAGATTGAGGCAGGAGAATCGCTTGAACCTGGGAGGGAGAGGTTGAAGTGAGCCAAAATCGTGCCACTGAACTTCTGGGTGATAGAGTGAGACTCTGTCTAAAGGAAAAGATTCTTTATTAATAATTTCTTTAGTGATTTCTTTATTCTTTAGTAAATAAATAAAGCAGTGCCATCTGCTATATTACCTTGTACAAATCTCTTAGCTTTTTCTAAGTTTTTTTCCCAGTTGTAAAATAGGAAATAATAACATCTATAGGTTATTGGGAGGATTCTATGACAGTATATAAATGAAATTATATTGTTTAACGTTTGGACTAATGATGTCTAAGATAATTTTGGGGGCTGGGTGCGGTGGCTCACACCTATATTCCCAGCACTTTGGGAGGCCGAGGCTGGTGGATCAGTTGAGGTCAGGAGTTTAAGACCAGCCTGACCCACATGGTAAAACCCCGTCTCTACTAAAAATATAAAAATTAGCCCGTCATGGTGGTGCATGCCTGTAGTCTCAGCTAATCTGGAGACAGAGGTAAGAGAATCTCTTGAACCCGGGAGGCGGAGGTTGCAGTGAGCCTAGATTGTGCCATTGAACTCCAGCCTGGGTGACAGAGTGAGACTCCATATCATAAATAAATAAACAAATAAATAATTTTGGGGATTCCTAAGTACTTTGTATTTGCTGTGGTGGAACACCCATCACAGTTCTTCAGGACTGAGAGCAGGACAGAGAAGAAATGGGCACTTTATTACTATTGTAAAACTGAAGAGAAAAAAGTTGCCATTTGCCAGTGCTCAAAAATATCTGATACTTCTGGTTTATCTTCATTCCTCAAATGTTATTTTGAAATATGCCATTATTTGGGGGTAGATGTACTATAATATTATTTTAATTGCTGCTAAAGGAATTATAGTCATTGATAAAAATGAATGGTGAGACAGCTAGCTTGTGTTTCATTTATGATATTTGTTGTTTTCTTCCAGATAGAGCTTTCCTCTTAGTCCTGCAAACCTAACTGAACTGATTGGGGCAGGGCCCATTCAATGATCTGCAGGTTAGAAACCAGAGGAAAACAGAAGGACAGAAAAAAAGTTGAAAATTATAAACTCTGTAAACCATTACTTTGTCTTCCAGTCTGCCTGCATGATCAGTTTACTCATAATTAGTTCCTCAGTCTTTACTGAGCTCCCATGTGGAAATACTGGAGCACAGAAGCACTGTGGTTTATGGGAAGGAGTAAAGACAGAGCATCTGGTTTTGAAGAGCATCTGGTTTTGAATGCTTTCTCTTGCGGAAGAGACCCACATGCTTAAATGTTGCAATCTTTAAAAGGCAGAATAAAACTGCCAGAGTACAGAAGAAAGAGAAACCATTTTCTGGTAGGGTCAAAAGGGATGACTCCCAAGATAGGAGAATGCCTCCGAAGGCAAGAACATTTAGAGAAGTAAAGACAATAACTCTGAGGAGAACCCATGTTTAAAGATATGAGACAAGAAAAAGGGAACAGTAAAATGAAACAATAGAATGACCAGATAGGCTATAATATGGAAGACTATAATAAATATAAATTAAGCATTTAAGCAAAAAGGATGCTATTCGCTCTCTCTCTCTCTCTCTCTTTTTTCAGATGGAGTCTCCCTCTGTCTCCCAGGTTGGAGTGCAGTGACATGATCTTGGCTCATTGTAACCTCCGCCTCCCGGGTTCAAGCGATTCTCCTGCCTCAGCCTCCCGAGTAGCTGGAATTACAAGCATGCACCGTGGCGCCCATCTAATTTTTGTATTTTTAGTGGAGAAGGGGTTTCACCATGTTGGCCAGGCTGGTCTATAACTCCTAACCTCAGGTGATCCACCCACTTTGCCTTCCCAAAGTGCTGGGATTACAGGACTGACCATTATTATTTGTTCACATCTTCCATTTGTCTTGATGTGAGATAATTTGTTCAATATGATGTTTAGAACTTCCCTTGAAGGAATAACAAAATTTATTATAACAAATAAGTAATAAAAAATGCTTGCAAAGAATTTCTTGTTTCATCCTGGAGCTGGGATATTACTCTACAACAATAATGTCCGTTATAGGAATATAGATCCAAAATATTTAATCAAACTAAGTTCAACACAACATAAAACATTCCTTTATAAATGCCTTATGACAGAAGTTACATGGCTTATGGGCAAAGCATCTTTCCTCTTTGGATCTTAGAAGGGCTGATAATCAGTTCTTGACTTGTCTTTCTCTCAAGCCACAGTTCCACATATACAATTACCCACTGGATATATAAGGAGGTCAGAGAGTGTGTAGGTGTGTGCATGTGTACACATACAGGCAGTGAATTCACTTAGTATTTGAAAGTGAACCCAGCAGTACTTACCGGAAGGCCCATTTGGCCTGATCTACCCAAGGGCCCTATAATTCCTGGTAAGCCCATGTCTCCTTTTTCTCCATCCTCTCCAGGAAGTCCTCTTCCTCCTGAAACTCCCTGTAATGCAATAAAAAACTTTTTTATAAAAGAATACAGTGAAATAATTATGCCAACAAAAAGCAGGTTTTTGTTTGCCACACAAAAATAATGATGTCTAATATTTTAAAGATTTTACAAAGCATCTATTTTATATATAATGTTAAAAGTATAATTTACCTTTAACCCATCTTTTCCTTGGAGACCTTCTTCTCCAGGAGCTCCTGGTTCACCCTATTTTGTAGCAGAAACAGTACGATGGAATTTTTTTTGCTATATCATTTATCTTATTTTATTTTTAGCCCACAGCATATATGGAAAATAACAAATTTGTGTTCACTTATTTCTATTACTTTATCTCTAAAGAGGATTTGACAGTATAATGAGCATGATTTAATTTGCCTTGAATAGCTCTGAAGATGCTTTCATGATTCAGAGTGTCATAAATTCAAATATAAGATGATCCCAGAATATTAGTAAATTTTAGATAATTAAAGTAATATACATCCATTTGGTAGCTCTAGAATTTTATACAGCTAGACTTGTGTTTTTGAGTTCAAGAAATGTAAATACTGCATCTCATAAAATTATAGTGCTTTGCTATATTGAATTTACATGGGCTAATATAATTTGATTCAGTTATGACCACTCTACCAGATTTTTAGAGTTTCCACATTTTCTCCCTTTCAATAGAGAGGTAAAGATTAAGGCTCTGGTACATTACTTAGTTGTCTTTTAGATATGGAACTTGCAGAAATGTAGAGCCATACTTTACAAAGCTATTAAAGTAGGACTGGCTTTCTTGATACTGAAATTATTTAAAAGTAAATTAATTAGTGCATCTTTATCGTTGCTCCATCTTTTCTATCACTGACATTTCTATTATCCTCACTTCTCATTCACCCCACTCCACACAAAAAAGGGAATGTAAAAAGAAAGAAGCCAGATACAAAATATATCTCCCTACTTTGCCTTTTAGTGAACAAATGTCTCTTAAAATTATCTTGGGCACCATTATCTTAGGAAACAACTCCTTACCACAGCTCAGAATAAAGGCTATCTATATTAGGATAACTTCTCAAGCTATCTAACTGCAACAATTTGCAATTATGGCCTTGCATCTTGTTAACCCTGCATGATCATAGGTTTGATTTTTTTAGAGCAAATTAAATCTATAAATTAGATTTCAATCTTTTATCTGTCTTGTTAGGTCACGAACTATTCTGAGAGTTGATCACTGGTACTTGTGAATTTCTTCTTAATGCTGACGTTAGTGACAATCACAGTGACTCCACGTTTTTGGTAAGGGTTCTACAAAGTATGCCTGATTTTGAGAAAAGGACATACGAGGTTAAGACTCTAAATACTACTAAATTAGAATAGGGACAAGATTTGGCATGCAGCTTTTGAAATTATGAAATAAAACCAAACATTTTCTATAATGTATCAGAAAGGTTTATTATCCTATTTTTTGAGTGTTTAGACTAATAAGTTTTGAGTCTCTGAAAGAAGCGGGTTAGTGTATTAAAAGAGTTTCCAGTGGGCACTCACTCGCAAACCTGGTTCCCCAGTTTCTCCAACACTTCCTGCAGGTCCAACATCTCCCTGAGGAAACAAAGGGAAAGATTAAACTCTTTTCTACTAAGACTGCATGGCTAATTATGGAGGGCATGTCATAAGGCACGGTTCCCCAACGCCTGGGCCGTAGAGGGCACCTGTCCAAGGCCTGTTAGGAACTGCGCCGCACAACAGGAGGTGAACAGCTGGTGACACAGCATTACTGTCTGAGCTCCACCTCCTGACAGATCAGTGGCAGCATTAGATTCTCACAGAAGCATGAACTCTATTGTGAACCCTCCTGACAGATCAGTGGCAGCATTAGATTCTCACAGAAGCGTGAACTCTATTGTGAACTGTGCATTTGAGGGATCTGGGTTGCACAATCTTTATGAGAATCTAATGCCTGATGATCTAAGGTGGGACAGTTTCATCCTGAAACCATCCCCTGCTCTGCTTCCATCTGTGGAAAAACTCTCTTCCATGAAACTGGTCCCTGGTGCCAGACAAATAGGTTGGGGACTGCTGTCATAAGGAATAGGAGTTCCAAATTTTTCTCTGGGGGCTTCCACCTTCTTTCAAGTTGGCAAATGTAGGGGACTCAATAGTAGCAAGTGTAGGGGATTCAATGATGAAAGTTTAGAGACTCTCCATTATTTTTTAGAAGGTTACCTTTGCACCTGGTTCACCTTGCAGACCAGACTCTCCCTCAATGCCTGGAGGTCCCTACAAGAGAATAATTTGACACATTACAAAGGCAACAGCAATCTCATGAGAAGATGGTGGTAACACTGAACTCAAGGGTGAGACACCTGTGTCCAAAAGGGCATAATTGCTGTCCCTTTATCAACTTCATAGCATAAGTACAGATACTTTCTGACACCATTTAATAGTTCAAATGTAAAGACAACTTCATCTAAAATTAGGACTTTCAAGATCCATTTCTTCTAATCCTCTCTGTCATCCTTTAAACTTCATCCAAAGCGATTTGTTCTTCCTTTCTCTTTCTGTAGTGCCTTCAGGAATCTACTTACTTAAAAAATTCATTTTTCTTTGTTGGTTTCATAAAAATATCATGCAAATAAGAGATAAATTTATTCACATTATAGAAGACACACACAGACAGACAGACAGACACACACACACACACACACACCCCTTCTTTTCCAGCCTTCTTTCATGGTGGGTCCATTTTTGTTGGGAAGCTTTCAGTTTTCTTTACTTTGAGAACATACAAGTTCTTGCAACCTCTGGCTATTTCCAGGCCTAAAGTTCCTACTATTGCTGATGTCACAACTATTTTTGTCTCCGAGAGACATTTACCTTATTTGTGAGCATGCTATGTGTGCCCCTCCCTTCCCTTGAGGGAGGAGAAGAGTTTTATTGGGGACACAGGTGAACAGGTCTGCAGAAATTAAGTTATGTAAACCATTATTTACCATGTTAAGAAATTGGCATTTTATCCTAAAGGCCATGAGAACTCTTGAAACATTTAAAATAAATGAATGATATAAGAAAGATAAACTGGCAACAAGTAGATGATGGAATTACAGGAGTTGGAGGAGACATGGCATGAGAGTGTAGGGGACAGTGCACTGGCAATAGGGATAAAGAGGAAAGGGTAGATTTAAGAAGAATGGGCAGGAGGAGGCCTATTCAAAAGGAAATGGTCACTGATTAGAGAGGATTAGGTAGAAGAAGGAGTCTAGGATGACTCTCTGTTTTGGGTTATTGGGTATAAGGGATATCTTTCCTTGAGATGGGAATTAAACAGAGGAAGAACAGTGGGAAAGTAATGGATTTGGTTTAGATATTTTGAATTGTAGATGTCTGTGGGATATCTAGGTGGATGTTTAAAAAGATAACAGGAAATCAATAATTGAATCTGAGGAGAGAGGTATAAAATACAGCTACCAAGTTGACATCTATCAGAGTAAAATTGGTAATTAAAGTCACTGTAATAATATGATCACTAAGCTAAGGAAGTAAAAGGGCAACTTCATGTCAAGACTCAGAAAGGCTAATGAGAAGGTGAAGTGGCAAATCAAGACAGAGCAGTTACACAGCAGCCAAGGGAGCAGTTTCACAACAGCTAAATAAATCAAACATTAAATAAAATGTTTGATTTATTTAGTACTAAAGTTACAAACAATGGAAATAAAAGAATTGGATATTTATAACAAATTTGGCTTATAATTCCAAAATATATCCTAAATTGGGTAATGCCTCAGTATTCTCCTATATAGGGCATATAATATCTTAGAATGAAAGGTTTTCAAGTCAACTTTAAATCAGTGAAGGGAAAGCTCTATCTACTTTGTGTTCTGTCATCTCAATGAGGTAATTATTAGAGGAGAACTTCATATGTATAAAATTAGACATATAATAATCATCTCTGCTTTTAATGGAATTTTAGGCTTTTTTCTGAATATGAAACAATACTATGAAAGTATTCCTCATAATATATATCTAATTATTAATTTTACCCTAGAGCCTTACAAAAAGTAGAATATTTATGAACAAGAATGAGCCACAAAAAATTTACCTCAATGCCCATTTCTCCAGGAGGTCCAACATCACCTTGCAGTCCTCGCAGGCCCTATATTAAAATAAAATGTAAGATATGAGAATAAAAGTTTACTCTGGGTCAGTAAATGTATGCATCTGGATATGGGTTTTATAATAGAATACATATTTACATAATACATAATTATGTAAATACATAATACATAATTGTATAAATACATAATACATTTATCAACATATTACTTTACTCTGTATAGACAAAATTATATCTTTAGTTGATTCATGTGTGTGTGTGTGTGTGTGTGTGTGTGTGCGCGCGCGCGCGTGTGTTTTTGTTTCTTTTTTTTTTGAGACTGAGTTTCACTCTTGTTGCCCAGCTGGAGCGCAGTGGCACAGTCTCCACTCACTGCAACCTCCGCCTCCCAGGGTCAAGCAATTCTCCTGCTTCAGCCTCTCAAGCAGCTGGGATTACAGGCAACTGCCACCACGCTCGGCTAATTTTCATATTTGTAGTAGAGATGGGGTTTCACTATGTTGGCCAGGCTGGTCACGAACTCCTGACCTCAGGTGATCCACCTGCCTCAGCCTCCCAAAGTGCTGGGATTACAGGCGTGAGCCACCGCGCCCAGCCTCACATGTGTTTTTAAAATAAATTTACTAAGCTATGCTTGTATTACAAAGAAAAGAGTGGCATTCATTCTTTTATTCTCTAATTCACTCATTCATTCAATATTAAGCACCTCATAAGTATCATATATTGTGCTAAGCATTTTGACAAGGTATCTTATTTAATGTATGTGATAGTCATTCATCTACTTAAAATTCCTAGCAAATATGTGACAAAGAAATTTGCATCTTAAAGATGTAAATATATGATCTTCTTTTTACTGATTGTGTAGTTTTACCCCTCAAGAATGTCATACAGTTGGAATCATACAGCATGTAACCTTTTCATACTGACTTCAACTTAGTAGTATGCATTTAAGTTTCCTTTGTAAATTTTTGTGGCTTGATAGCTCATTTATTTTTAATGCTGAATGATATTCCATTGTATGGGCATACCACAGTTTGTTTATCCATTTATTCATTGGACACTGTTTTAGTTAACTGAGGATTCTATAACAAAATAGTATACATTAATAGCTTATAAAACACAGAAATTTATTTCCCACAGTTCTGGAGGCTGGAAAGTCCAAGATAAAGGTGCTGGCAGATTCAGTGTCTGGTAAAGGCCCACTTTCTGCTTCATAGATGGTGCCTTCTAGTTGTGTCACATGTTAGAAGGGGCAGGCTAGCTCTTGCATGCCTCTTTTATAAGGGCGCTAATCCCAATAATGAGGGCACAGCACCCCAAAGATCCTGCCCTATAATACCATTACCTTGGGGACTGGGATTTCAACAAACGAATTTTTGGGGAAACATGGTCCAATTATAGCAGACATATCAATTCATACTGGTTGCTTCAAATTTTTTGCACCTATAAATAAAGCTGCTATAAACATTCTTGTACAGGTTTTTGTGTGGACATAAGTTTTCAGTTCATTTGGGTGAACACTAAGGAGCGTGATCACCGGATCATATGGTAAGAGTATGCCTACCTTTGTAAAAAACTGTCTTCCAAAGTGGCTGGACCATTTTGCATTCCCACTAGCAAGGAATGAGAGCTCCTGTTGTTCCACATCCTTGCCAACCTTTGGCATCATCAAAGTTTTAGATTTTAGTCATTCTAACAGGTGTATAGAGGTATGTCATTATTGTTTTAATTTGCAATTCTCTAATGACATATGATGTTGAGCATATTTTTACATGCTTCTATACTATTTCTATATCTTCTTTGGTGTGGTGTCTGTTCAGATCTTTTGCCAACATTTTAACTGGTTTTTAAAGAAAATTGTTGACTTTTAAATGTTTTTTCTGTATTTTAGATACAAGTCTTTTATCAGATATATGTTTTGAAAATGTTTTCTCCCAGTCTGTGGATTGTCTCTTCATTCTCTTAACAGTGCTTTTTCAAGGCAGATTTAAAAAGATGTTAATGAAGTCCAACTTATCAATTTTTTCTTTCATGGGTAGCGCTTTTGGGGATGTAGATAAAAACTCACCAACAAACCTCAGGTCACATCGATTTTCTTCTATGTTTATATTTTAGGAGTTTTATGGTTTTGTTTTTTACATGTAAGTCTATGATTCATTTTGAGGGGGTGTGTGTGTGTGTGTATGTATGAGGTATAAGATCTGCATCTAGATTCATGTTTTGCATGTGGGTATCTATTTGTTCCAGTATAATTTGTTGAAAAGACTATCCATTGTATTGTCTTTGCTCCTTTGTCACAGATCACTTGACTTTATTTGTGACTATATACTGTGTATATTGTGTAGAACAAAGAGTATATCTGTGTTCTATTTCTGGGTTCACCATTCTGTTCCAATGAACTACAGTTGAAATTTAAACCAACATAAGGGTTACAGTGCCAACCTCCTGCACAGTTAAAAATCTGAGTACAACTTTCAACTCCCCAAAAATGTAACCGTTTATAGCCTACTATTGACTGGTTGCCTTGCTAATAACATAAGCAGGTGTTTAACAGATATTTTATATGTGTATTATACATATACACATATACACATATTTTATATGTATATTATATACTGTAGTTTTAAAGGAAGCTAGAATAAAGAATACTGTATTCTTAAGTGGAAGTAGAGCATCATCAAGATCTTCATCCTCATTGTATCCATGCTGAGTAGGCTGAGGAGGTGGAAGAAGAGGAGGGGTTGTTCTTGCTGTCTCAGGGGTAGCAGAAGTGGAAGAATATCCACAAAAAAGAGGACCTTTGCAGTTCAAACCCATGTTGTTCAAGGGTCAATTGTACTTGTCTATTCTTTTGCCAATATTACACTGTCTTGATTACTGTAGTTTTACAGTAAATCTTGAAGTCAGTGTCAGTTCTCCAACTTTGTTTTTCAATATTGTATTGGCTATTCTGGGTCTTTTGCCTTTCCATAGAAACTTTAGAATCTGTTAATATATACAATGTAACTTGCTTGGATTTTGATTAGAACTGCATTGAATTGATAGATCAATTTGTGAAGAACTAATATCTTAACAGTATTGAGTCCTTCTACCTATGACCATGAAATATCCTTCCATTTAATTTCTTTGATCAAAGTTTTCCTCATACAGATCTTACATATATTTTGTTAGATTTATACCTATTTCTTTCTCTCTTTTTTGGTGCTAATGTAAATGATATCGTGTTTTTCATTTTAAATTCCAATTACTCATTGCTGGTAATACAGAAAAGCAATTGATTTTTGTGTATTAACTTATACCCTGTTATGCTACAATCTCATTATAACTGCTTATTAGTTTAGGGAATTTAAAAAATAAGTTCTTGAAGATTTTTCACACAGACAGCCATGCCATCTACAAAGGAAGACAGTTTTATTTCTTCTTTCCCAATTTGTATACTTTTAATTTTCTTTTCTTATTGCACTAGCTAGGACTTCCAGGACAATGCTGAATAGAAGTTAAAATTTAACAAAGGAGGAACATGTTTTCCTTATTCCCTTGCTCTTAAAAGTATCTCATTTTCACCAGTAAGTATAATGTTGGCTATAAGATTTTTAAAAAAATATGTTTTTCAAAAAGCTGAGGAAGTGCCCCTTTATTTCAAGTTTGAGAGTTTTTTTTTTTTTTTTATCATGAATGGTTGTTAGATTTTGTCAAATGATTTTCCTGCATCTTTTCATATCATATTTTCTTATTTAGCCTGTTGAGGTGGTGGATTATATTAACTGACATTCTACTGTTAAACCAGTCTTGTAAACCTGGAAAAAATTACACTTGTTTATGATGCATAATTCTGTTTATACATTGTTTGATTCAATTTGCTAATATTTTGTTGAGGATTTTACATCTATGTTCATGAATGATACTGGTCTATAGTTTTCTTTTCTTGTGATATGTTCGTCTGGTTTTTTTATTAGGGTAATGCTCATGTAATGGCCTCACGTATGTGGCCTCATATAATTAGGAAATATTCTGTTGTTTCTATTTTCTGGAACAGCTTGTACATAACTGGTATCATTTGTTCTTTAAATGTTTAGTTGAATTCACCAATGAGATAACCTGAGACCAGTGCTTTCTGTTTCAGAGGGTTATTAGTGATGGATTCTGTTTCTTCATCAATACACGTTGATGAAGATATTGATGGAAATCAAATCAAATCAAATCAAGTCAAAGCAAACCTATTCAGGTTACCCTTTTCTGTTTATGTGAGTTTTGGTAAAATATGTCTTTTAAGGAATTGGTCTATTTCATTTAAGTTATCAAATTTGTGGAAATATTGGGAGGCTGAGGCAGGCCAATCACAAGGTCAGAAGTTTGAGATCAGCCTGACCAACCTGGTGAAACCCCATTTCTACTAAAAATATAAAAAAAGTTAGCCAGGCATGGTGGCACGCACCTGTAATCCCAGCTACTCAGGAGGCTAAGGCAGGAGAATCGCTTGAACCCGGGAGGTGGAGGTTGCAGTGAGTTGAGATCACACCACTAGCCTGGGTGACAGAGCGAGACTCCGTCTCAAAAAAGAAAAAAAAAATTGTGAAAATAGAATTGCTCATAATATCCATTTATTATCATTTTAATGCTAATGATATCAGTAGTGATATTGATATTCTGATATTAGTAATTTGTATTTTCTCTTTTTTTCCCCCTTGGTTAGCCTGGCCTGAGGTTGATTAATTTTGGTCGCACTGATGTTCTCTATTGTTTTCCTGTTTTCAATTTCACTGATTTCTGCTGATTTTCATTACTTATTTTCTTCTGCTTACTTTGTATTTAATTTGCTTTTCTTTTATAGTTTCCTAGGATGGAAGCTTAGATTACTAATCTTAAGTATTTCTTCTTTCCTCGTATTTTGATTCAGTGCTATAAATTTCCCTCTAGGCACTGCATCTCAAGCATTTTGACAAACTATATTTTCATTTAGTTCAAAATATTTTTAAATTATTCCTGAAACTCCTTTTTTGACCAATAAGTTATTAAAAGTGTATTATTTAATCTCCAAA